TTTCCCTGTGCAGAAGTGTGAGTCTCCTCCGAGTCCTGCTGTAGGCTGAGCACAGTACGATCAGCTCAATGCTTTGGCACAGTAACTCAGGCTGCAGTACCACCTGGACCTGGTGGAGGAATGGGTGGAGACTACAGAAAGGAGATGCCTAGGTTACTGCCATAGTCTGGGACAGAGATGATAGACATGTCAGTGGCAGTGAGGATCGCCATGAGACAATCCATGTGAGGGATATGAGGGTGTAGAATCAATGACACTTGGTGGTTCTCTTTGTGACTAATGCACGAAGACTGAGAAAATGTACGCACTGTTGACTGAAATGCTCATTTTTTCAAGAGATCATCATGTGTGCAGGACACTGTTGCGCATGCCTGTAAAACCAGTGACTCAGGCAGGAGAATTGCAACTTTGAGGACAGCCTTGGCAACTTAGACCCTGTCTCAAATCATTTAAAAAGGGCTGTGGTTGTAACTCAGAAGCAAAGCACCCCTGTTTCAATCCCCAGTACCACCACCACCACAAAAACATAAAGTTTATTGTATATTAGGTGAAAAAAAAAACTATTTTAAAACCCATCCTCCTAGCTGAGTGGTGGCACACACCTGTAATCCCACCTACTTGACAGATGGAGGCAGAAGGATTTTAAGTTCAAGACCAGCCTAGCCAATTTAGTGAGACCCTGCTCAAAATAAAAAATAAAAATGAGCTGGGTGTATAGCTAAGTGGTAGAGAACCCCTAGGTTCAACCCCCAATCATGAAAACAAAAAGCAAACAAAAAAATCCTCCTTGTAGTGTAATCCCCTTTCCCCCAACTTTGTTCCTCTATCCTACTGGTTTCCTTGTACTGTTAGAAATAACTGGTTCCTTGAACATGTCTTGAAGGGCTGGAGGAATTCTCAAAATTCCTCTACTTTAAAAAAAAATAGCTTTTTAGCCAGGTGCTGTGGTGCATGCCTGTAATCCCAGCAATGTGGGAGGCTGAGGCCAGAAGATCACAAGTTCAAGGCCAGCCTCAGCAACTTAGCAAGGCCCTAAGCAACACAGTGAGACCCCATCTCAAAATAAAAGATTAATAAAGGCCTGGGAATGTGGCTCAGTGGTTAAGCATCCCTGGGTTCAATTCCCAGTACAAAAAAAAAATTAATACTGGAATGATATTAGATTTACAGGAAAGTTGCAAAGATAATGCAGACGCTTCCTATATGTCCCTCACCTCTACTTTTCAAAACTTGATAATAGAACAAAAATAGCCCTGAACCAGTTGTCTTTGGGCAAATCACATCATCTATTCAGGCCTTAATTTTGTCACTGAAAGAAAGATAACTGCCTCTGCCTCACCATCTTAATCAGCTGGGACTATAACAAAATATCAGAGACCAGGTAGCTTATAAACAACAGATATTTATTTTTCACAGTTCTGGAGGCTGGAAGACCAACACCGGGGCTCTGGCAGCTTCCATGTCTGGTGAGCACTCAGATCCTGGTTCACTGTGTCCTCATTTGGCAAAAGGGGTGAGGGAGCTCTCTGGGTCTCTTTTATAAAGGCAATGATCCCATTCATGAGGGCTTCACCCTCCTGACATAATCACCTCCCAGAGGCCCCACTCCCAAATGCCCTCATGTTGGGGGTTAAGTTTCAGCATAATTTAAGGGGACACACTGAGTCTATAGCAGCCACGTCTGTGCTATTCACACATCACTGCAACAAAACACTGAGAAGCCAGCCAGCCTGTGTGGTGTTCTCTGGGTCAAGGTCCTCTCCAGAGGCAGGTGCAGTAGTCCCAGAGACTCAGGAGACTGGAGGAGGAGGATTGCAAGTTGGAGGCCAGCCTGGGAAACTTAGTGAGACCCTGATTCAAAATAAAAAAATAAAAAGGACTGGGGATGCTCAGTGGTACAGCACCCCTGGGTTCGATCCCCAGTACCATGCACCCATGTGTGCACACACACAAATTCTCCCCAGGATCCAGGTCCCTCCCTCACAGCCCCATCTGAGCTGCCAGAAACCAAGTCTTGGCTCACAGAGGGTCCAGCCTGGGGAAGGTAGACAAGCATTATTGGATGAAATGAGTGCATTAAGTGGGGACTGTAAAGTGCCAAACGCCTCTGCAGCTGAATCGATAGAAATGGTCTACTAACACGCTCATTTGTACACACAGCAGGAGAGTGATCTGTCCAAGCTCAAGTTCTAGTGAAGGGCAGGTTGAGGTCAAGTGATACGGTCACCAGGGCACATCAAGCTTCCTCCAAATGTGCGTGGAGACCTAGTGACAGTGTTAGATGTCAGAAAGTCTGAGCACTACACAGCTCTTCAGCCAACAGTGTCAGAAGTGCCAGGCCACTGTAATCAGATCTGACCCTGGAAAACAAGGTCTTCTCTTCTAGCAGTATAAGAAGACACTTGAGATCCCCATCTCACTGTAACTAGTTCTGGAGGGGGTGGGGGACCACCTTGGGCCAGAAAGAAGGTCCAGGAATGGATGGGGCACGCCTACCCAACTCTACCCTGGCCACCCTCTCTCCAATTCCTGGCCTCAATTCCTGAGGGTACAGTTGGTTAAATACAGGACATGGACCACTCTGCAGGGGAAAAAAAAAAAAGAAGCTTGTATATAAAATGAATGGCATTAAAAAAAAAAAAAAGGGGCTGGGGATGTGGCTCAAGCGGTAGCGCGCTCGCCTGGCATGCGTGCGGCCCGGGTTTGATCCTCAGCACCACATACAAATAAAGATGTTGTGTCCGCCAAAAACTAAAAAAATAAATATTAAAATTCTCTCTCTCACTCTCTCTTTAAAAAAAAAAAAAAGAGGGAAACCATTAGGAATTAAGAGAAACTTGAGATACTTAACAACTAAATGTAATTTTTTTCTCAGTTGGGTCCTAATTTGAACCAACCAAAAGTAAAAATACATGTTTTTTAAGCAATTGGGGAAAACTACATGGACTATATAATTGAGTATATTTATTGCATACTTTGTTAGATATCATGGTATTGTGATCAAGTTGCTAAAAAGTTCTATTTCTTAGAGACAAATACTGAGGTGTAAATAGCTGAAAAGAAATTGACTGGCACATGCTTTAAAAATACTCTGGGAACGGGAGGCTGAGGCAGGAGGATTGCAAGTTCAAGGTCAGCTCAGGCAACCCCAAGAGACCCTTTCTCAAATTTTTTTTAAAAAGTGTTGGAGAGGGGCTGGGATTGTGGCTCAGTGGTAGAGCACTTGCCTAGCACATGAAGCACTGGGTTTGATTCTCAGCACCACATAAAAATAAAGGTATTGTGTTCATCCACAACTAAAGAAAAAAAATTTTTTTAAAGTGTTGGGGAGCTGGGGTTGTGGCTCAGTGGTAGAGCGCTCGCCTAGCATGTGCGAGGCCCTGGGCTTGATCCTCAGTGCCACATAAAAATAAATAAATAAAATAAAGGTATTGTGTCCATCTACAACTAAAACAAAAAAAAATTAATGAAATAAAAAGTGTTGGGGCTATAGCTCAGAGGTAATGCACTCTTAAGTTTAATCCCCAGTATAAAAAAATAAAAATAAAAACAAAAAACCAGCCAGGCGAGGTTGCACGTGCCTGTAATCCCAGCAGTTGGGGAGACAGAGACAGGAGGATCGAGAGTTCAAAACCAGCTTCAACAATGGTGAGGCTCTGAGAAGCTCAGTGAGACCCTGTCTCTAAACACCCTGAGTTCAATCCTCGGTACTCCAAAACAAAAAAACTCACAAAACACACAAAAAAAACAGGGTTTGGGGGAAACAGGGGTGGAGGGGAGAAAGACATAGCTGAAACCAAAATGACAATGATTTAATTGTGAAACTGGGCTCATCATACCAGGCTGACTACTTCTATTTGAAAAATTTCATCATAAAGTCAAATAATAAATAGAATATTTTAAAAAATAAGTTAAATGAACCCTTGCCAAAATGTTAACTGTATTGACCACTCAGAAATTGAGAGAAAGGCAGGCCAAAGTTGAAAAAGTCAGGGAGATGAGAAGGCAGGGATGGTTGTGAACTTGACCTGGACCGGGCTGGGGATGTGGCTCAAGCGGTAACGCGCTTGCCTGGCATGCGTGCAGCCCAGGTTCGATCCTCAGCACCATATACAAAAAAACATGTTGTATCTGCCGAAAAATAAAAAATAATTAAATAAATATTTAAAAAAATTCTCTCTAAAAAAAAAAAAAAACTTGACCTGGACCCGTGTAAAGGACATGACCAAGGCACAGAGGTGCCGAAATCCTCACCATGCACATGCCAGGTGTGTTCCCTATTCTCTTGCTGTGTTATGGGTGCTTGTTCCACCTTCTTCTCTGAACCTTTGAGGAAAAAAAATGCCCCCGCTCTTGTGAACTTCACACTCTTCCTGTTCTCTTCCTCTATTCTCACACTCCCCAATCCAGGTGTAGCACAGCTTCCTGGGACTGCCCATCAATCCAGAGTGCTGGCCTATGGCTCCATCTGCTGGTGGATCCTGAGAACTGACGTTGATGAAAGCTAAGGGTCCCCAACCAAGAAGGAGTTGAGGATAATTTGGGGCGGGGGGGGGGGGGGGGGAGCCGGGCCCTGGGGATTGAACCCAGAGGTACTTTACCACTGACCTATATTCCTAGTCCTTTTTTTATTTTGAGACAGTGTCTCTTATTTTTGTTTATTTTGGAAGGGTACCAGGATTGAACTCCGGGGCACTTGGCCACTGAAACACATCCCCAACCTTATTTTGTATTTTATTTAGAGACAGGGTCTCTCTGAAATGCTTAGTGCCTCACTTTTGTTGAGGCTCATAATCCTCCTGACTCAGCCTCCTGAGCTGCTGGGATGACAGGTGTGCACCACTGTGCTGGGCTCACAAAGTTTTTTAAGTTGGCCTCAGACTTCCGATTCTCTGCCAGCCTCCCAAGTCACTGGGATTACAGGCGTTGCCACAAAGCTCAGCCAGGATGATTTTAGAGAGACCTGGTTCTTCCCCCTCGACAAAATAAACACAGGCCAATTAAACATATAGGAAGCCTTTAATTTCATCACCATAAACATTATACTCTGATTGCTCACATACAGTATAAAATATTTACTCCACTAAATAAATAAGACATAACATTATTGCAAACGGCACTTAAACCCCCAAGATATAAGAGCTCCTTGGCTCGGTGGGGTGCTCCTGAGTTTGTGTGAGATTCCCCGAGCACAGATATGCCCTGGAGGCTGAGATGGACAAAGGCTCGAGGAACCACAGGTGTGCTTCTGGTCCTGCAATAGCCCCAAAGAGAGGTTGTGGAGCCGGTGGGGAAAGTTGGGGTGAAGTGGGAGTGAAGGGCAGTGTTTTATCCTCCCAGTCCTACAGGGAACAGAGGGGAATTGGAGGAGCTAGGCTGGGCCAAGGGAGGAGAGGAGGCTGGGGATGCTGCTGAGGCCCGGAGCTTTTCCACTATTCCTTATGTCCCCAGCCTTGGGTGAGGACATCTGGGATATCAACTGGGGTGAGTAGTGCTTCCAAGGTGCTGGGTTAGGTAGTTTTGGGGGCCAGACCTATCACCCCAAGAGAAGGGATTCTGGCAATGCTCAGCCCAATGACCAGACATTTCAGGGGACTGGTTGTTGGTGATCCCACTGAACCCAACTCCGAGACACCAACCCAGAAAAGCTGGGAATAGATTTCCTTCTACTTTGTTAAATAAATAAGTTAAATATTTAAAGGCCTGTGTCCTCATGATGGCAACCCAGGGACCAACAAGCCATGTCCTGATAAAAGGGTTTGGGGGGATCAGCAGAAAGGCAGTGCTGTAGACCAAGGGGGCTTCACCTGGCCCCTTAGGACTCTTCCTCTCAATTAGCTTTCACCCCTCCAAACACTGTTGAAAGTTTCACACTAGAAACTTCCATGCAAGAGCCACACGGGCAGGGGTTCTGCAGAATAAGGGGGCCTGGGGTGGGAGTTTGTTCAGTTTTTCAAATCCCTTCTCCAGGTAGGTCTCAATCAGGACACTGGCTGTTAACCCTGAGCTTGGCCAGGCCACCTGCAGAGTCCTGCATTCCAGTGCATGGAGCTAATCAACTATTCTGCCTTCCTGGCCTCCTTGCACAAATCCACACTGAAACTGCCATTCGGCCAGCCCTAGAGACTGGGGAGATGGGAGAGGGAAGCCACCGTCCCCTATCTCTGCAGCTATGCAACTCACTGCCACGGGGTGGCAGCAGAGAGCCATGCCACTTTGGCAGCAACAAAAACTGGAAAGTCAGCCCTGCAGCCAGGTGGGAACGCAGACCAGGCAAGGCAGGCCCCCTCCTCAGTGTGCAGGAAGCATTTCACACAGAGTATTTGGCCAAGTCACTCTTGTCAAATACTACCTGTGTAGCAAAGTAAATGGCAATCAGACCCAAGCCTGCGGCTGACACCATATAGGCAGTGACAGATTGGCTGAGTTGGACAATGGAGCCCATAAACAAGGATGGGGCCACCTGGGACAGCAAGAAGGCACTGTCCAGGATGGCAAGGTCCAGGCAGATGCCCCGGCCCGGGATCACCCTGGCCTCGGTAGGCTCACCCACCACCACTCTCATGGAGACATCGCAGGTGGAGGCGCCGCAGAGCGCAGGGGCAGCTGGGAGCAGGCCACCACCTCCAGCACCCATGTGTCCGTTGGGGAAGGGAGCTCCAGACTTTGGGCCTGGCAGGAAGCTGGTCGTCAGGCTGTCCTCACTGCCACCACTGCCAGTGTCCCCTCGGTATTTGGGCAGGAACACCTGGGGGGGTGTGGAAAAGAGGGGACGAGAACAGGTATGTACTCAGGCACGGGGATCCCCAGCTATAAGAACAGGCCCTAGCTTTCAACCCCGGGGCCAAAAGAAAACAGGCAACAGGTCAGAGAGCTGAGGAGACCCTACTTGACCCAGGTCTAGACAGGACCTCAGGAATAGCAGGAATGACGGCCATAAAGGTGCAAAGCCAAAACCAGACCTCAAGGTCTCCTCTGGCTTTTTCTTGGGTAAGTCACAAACTTCATTCTGCAGATTAGGAAGACAGCCGAGCCTCCCAAGAAAAGGGAGAGACAGAAAGAATCAGGCAGGTGAGAGGAGAGAACCACGAGAGAAGGGATAAGACCCCACACAGGGTCTCCAGCCCTCTTCCTCCCTGCCCACCCTCTTCTTGGCCATCTGGAAATCCTCACTGCCCTGCCAGGGAGAAGCCCCGCCCCTCTGGGGTTGCAGGCCCTGGAGTTGGAGTTGGAGTTGCTGCCCACAGTGAGGTCCCTGCCCTAGACTTCAGCCAGGGAGGGCTGGGGGGCTGGAGGGCTGGCAGATGGGGTCTAGGGAAGGGAGGAGCAGCAGGAGTGACCCCCTTGCCCACTCCCACAGCCCAGCTGTCTAAGGTTGAAGCCCTTCTCACTTCCTTCCTGCTGTTCACCAGAGATCAGAGGCTGAGTCTGATCTATCTCCCCCACCCCCACCTCAATGGCCTGGGGCCTATTTAAGGACAAGACCAGATCTTATCTCACACTGTATCTAGCACAGGCTTTTTTTTTTTTTTTTTTACTATACTGACAACTGAACCCGGGGTTCTCTATCACTCATCACCAGCTGCATCACCAGCCCTTTTCATTTTTTATTTTGAGGCAGGGTCTTGCTGGCCTTGAACTTGTGATCCTCCTGCCTCGGCCTCCCTAGTAGCTGGGATTACAGGCGAGCCCCATGATGTCTAGCCACAGCGCTGGCTTCCTGAGTTGGCTGCATGAATAAGCTGGGAGCCAGGACACAGTTCTAGCCTGGTGCCAGGGAAGCCCAAGGCTCATCATGAAGCCTGACAAGTGGGCAAAGGCCAAGCCGACAGTGTGCAGGGCCAGGTCTGCCCTCTGCTGCCTCCTAGGACCTGTCCTGCTTGCTGCCCCAGGAAAGGCCTGAGAGGCTGGAGTCTGGAGAGGTCCCTGGGGACAAACATGCTCCTCAGTAACAAGCATGAGTCCCAGCCTGTCCCCTGGCTCCAATGCACATGCTCAGGCCTAGTCTCCAGCCCAGGGCAGCGTTGAGAGTAGGGACTGGTGAAAGATACCATGGGCCCAGAGGAGCCTCAGGGACCAGTTCCCCTCCCAAAGTTAGCCCCTCCCCCTGCAGCTACCTGCAGAGCAAACCAGCCTCCTAGCTACTGCACTCCTGTCCTACAGGGGCAAGGACAGGTTTTCCCTATACCTGGCAGCTCTATGAGCACAGGCCTGTGTCTCCACCCTGAGACACCCCAACTTGTGCCCCCTGGGGTAGAATCCTGCATCCAGCGTTGTAGCTCAGTGAAGTCAGTGGAGGGGACAAGGGTAACCACCTTCCTGCATACAAAAATCTACCCTCCTCCTGCAGGGGCTGTTTAGTGTGGGGTCAAGCAGGAAGAAGGCCCCCAACTTACCCAGTGCCCAGGTGAGCTGAACTGGTATATCCGGCTCAGATATCCACCAAGGGGCAGGGGAAGGGGACAGAGGTAAAGGTGTGAGGCAGGAAAGGGAGAATTCAGAGGAAGATAAACCTGAAAGAGAGAGCCCTCCCCATTTTGGAGACCAGAGCAAGACTCAGGCTAGTCACAAGGCCTCTCCCTGTGGCTAAGGCCTGGCCATTCTACTACCATATGCCGAAGCTAGGTGCCCCAGAGGGCATCTCACCCAGGCCCCTGCCTCCTGGGAGAAGACAGCCCAGACTAAGGGCTTCTCTAGCCCGATTCTTCAGGATTCCCGGTGAAAGATTCTTCACTTCCTGCAATCACACACTCAAGTGCTTTATAGTTCCAAAGCCAGGAAGTCATTCCCAGAATCTAATCTACACGCTTCTTCCGCAGCCCAAGCTCCTGCCTGGGAGCTAAGATGAGCTTCCTCGGATCAGAGAAAGTCTTCTCCAACACCTCTTGCCAGACACTGGGTTTTGGACTAGTCTGCCTCCCCCACCCTACTGGCCAAGGGCCAATGTGAATACCTGCTTCTCACGGTGGTAGAGGGAGGCCAGCGTGTAGGGCAGGATCTGCAGGGCTGAGAAGGTGAACCCGGTGAGGGCTGCCGAGGCCGTCACCACAGCCACACTGCGAGACAGGCAAGTGGCGCCAGCAGCCACTGGGAAGGCCACCACACTGGCCAGGTAGACTGCCCGGGTGCCAAATCGCTGCACCAGCCGGTCCATGACCAGGGAGAAGACCAGGGAGATGGTACACTGCAAGAAGAGCCCCAGGCTGCCCATCCGCACACCTGGATGTAGAGGGGAGAGGTGGTCAGACAAGGCCAGGTGGGTCAAAAACCCTACACGATCTGGGGGTAGCAGGGGATTAGGAGCCATGGGCATCTGCTCCCCCTCCTCAGTTTCTCACCCCGTAGCAATGGGAGTCTTGGCTCTTCCACAGACACTTGGCCAATGTGGCCAAAGCTGTTGGCTGAGGGCAGAGGAAGATGTTCTAAGGAAGATGTATGAGGACCCTCAGCTTTGGGTACAAAAGGGTAAGAGGGGACACAAAGAAAGTTCTAACAAGCCTTTTTTTCCTGGGGATTGAACCCAGGGGTGCTTTTATCCCCTGGATTACAGGCATGTGCTGGGCGCCCAGCTTCTACCCAGGCTTGAAGATGGCATTCTAGAACGACTGATCAGGACGGCCCTGGTGAGGTTATCTGAAAGTCCGAAGGGGAGCAGAGGGCAGGATGGAGCTGAGCAGAGCCGAAATCCATCTTGATTCCTGCTTCCTCTGTCCCTTGAGTAAGCTCAGTCTTTCCTTCTGACAAAGTGCGGCAGTGCGTCTGAACACAGAGAAGCTAGCAGCCCTACTGAGGCAGTAGGCAAAGCTACTCCCCAAGGAGCCCGACATGGATGGGGTCTATTTTCCTTTCCCAATGGGAAGTTGGGGAACAGGATGCACAGCCACCAGCCCACACCCACCCGGGAACCTCTCCCAACCCAGGAATGTCTGCTGAATGCAGTTACCCAGCAGCTGCCACTGGCTGCTGAGGCCTTCTTACCTTCGTCATAATGTCTCCGGGCCTCGGTGCCTGGCTCGGCTCTGGGCACGCCCTGGTACAGGCCCTCACCCACAAAATCCGTGTAAAACAGTGTGAAGGTCATGAGTGCCATCCAGCTGCAGAGCTCCGCCACAAAGAGTCGACGCAGGGTGCGAGGCATGCGGCAGCAGAGCTGGTGCAGCCGAGGAAACAGGGTACCCAGGTTCCGGAAAGCCAGGTGGGCATGGCATGGGCAGCAGTGGGGAGACGTGGAGGGGACTGAAAGTGCTTCCACTGGCTCAGGCGGACCCAGCACAGCCTCCTCGGCCACAAACAGGGTGGCTGCCATGCAGGTGAGGAAGATGAGAGTGAGCAGGCCAAAGAGGCACTCTTCCTGGGTGCCCAGATAGGGGGCCAGGGCGCTGGCGTCCCAGTCAATGGCAGGTAAGAGGTAGCCCAGGCAGCCCCCAAGGCTGATCATGAAGGCGTAGACAGAGAAGGCCTGGCGACAGTGGTCTGGGTCCCGGAAGAGGTCAGAGAGGAGGGCTTCCAGTGGAGTGAAGCACACCTGGCCACAGAAGTCCAGCAGCCCTACACCCAGGATCAGCAGTGCCAACTCCAGGGGCCTGGTATCTGGGCACAGCAGCTCCGCCAGCCAGCCCGCCCTCGGGATGAGAAAGAGGCTCAGCAAAACACCCAAGGACAGGGCCCAGATGAAGGGCCTCCGGCGGCCGTAGCGCCCACGCCACTGGTCACTGGCTGAGCCTAGGAGTGGGACGGAGACCAGGCCCAGCACTGGACCAATGCCTGTAAGAAAAGCAAGAAGCAAGAGTTAGTGGCTGAGACAAAGAAGGGGAAGGGGGAGAAGGGATGTAGCTCCTTGAGAAGCATGGAAATACCATCTTCATGGGGTCTTAACTTACTCCTCAGAGGGGTACTACAAAGGCCTCCATTTTCAGATGGGGAAACTGAGGCATGGAGCACTAGAAGTGATACTTATTCAAAGGCACAGAGGTAAGGAGGTGACAGGCAGGGCTGCGACAGGTGGTCCCACTTCAGGGACCCTTCTTCCCGAGGGTGAGTGTCACATAATGGTGACCATTGGTCTTCTGTGGCTTTGCAGCATTCACCTGTAGCATGAGGAGTTTGCCTGTGTCCTGTCCTGGGGTAAGAGAAAGCCCTGCCTGGGAGACTCTGGTTGAGTCCCTGCAGCTGCACAGCCTGGGCCATGACTCCCCTAAGCTCTCACAAGCCTGTTTCTTTCCCTGTAACATGGAAAGCCCCAAAAGCTTGCTGTAAGGAGTAAATGAGGTCACAGATGTGAGTTATAAAGGGCTGGACAAAGGTTAAGAGCAATTTTTTTTTCTAGTGTCTCCATGAGCTGGACATTGTGTAGGGACCAGGCAAACAGAGGTGGCTAGATTATGTCCCTGTATCATTTCATTTCTCTTGGGGGATTCCCTCAGCTCAGGGTCACCCGTCTGCCTAGTAATGCCTGCCCACTAGGCCCAGGGACAGCTGTCCGAGTAGCTCTCTAGGCAGAGGACCTACTGCCCTACATCCCAGGTGCACGTAACTGGAGCAGGAGGGAAGGAGGGTACAGGCACTCACCCAACACCATGGTCATGAACTTCTCTTCTACCCCCACTTCCAGCAGCAGGGGAGGTACGTAGGTGATGCCAGCGGCCAGACACACTTCCAGGCCAAAGGTCAGCAGGTTGACCAGCAGGAGCTGGGCTTTCCGATGCCGGAGCAGGCGGCTCACCCATAGTCTCTGGACCATGGTGGGCCAGGCAGGTGGGGCTCAGTCGGAACTGTTCACACACTCCACAGCAGCTTTATTTCAGCCCTGCCCCAGAAGCCCAGGCCTCTCCTCCTTGCTGCCACCGACTGCCTAGGATTCAGCCAGGTGCCCATTTCCGCCGGCCCTCTGGTACAGGTCCAATGACTCAGCCCATGCTAAACACCGTTGCCCCGCAGCACTTCAGTGGGGACAATTCTTGTCACTCAGATCCTAAAAGGGCAGGACAATCACAGGTACACAGAGTGTTAAGTCCTAGGAGCCAGGGCTTCAGGATTTTCTTTGAATTCTCTGAAACCTGTTCATTCACAGGCTGATGATGTGGCCCTGTCCCTTAGATGCCACTCCTGGCTGCCTAGTCAGGAAATGCATGTTAATATTAGCCTAAGGCTGACATAATTAATAAAGTAAATATGATTTTTAAACCTTAGCATACCTCAGAGCCAAACAGATGTCAGGTATTCTCTGTTTTGGAAAAGCTTTGCAATTGCCCTTGCCTGCTATCGTATTGAAGGTGGGGCACTGAATCAACTGAATTTCCAGTTGCTCCGGCCCGGCTATCAAGGTGCCCCTAGAGACCCTCTGCCAGGCCTGGTTTGTTTGCTTTCCTCTCTGCAATTCCCAGAGCTGGGCTGCTCAATTCCCCTTTGTTAAGAGTGACACTTCTGATTCCGCACCTCTTGGCCCTGAGCCATGTTGCACCATAACCCCCACCTCCAGGACCAGGACGAGGGCGAAGGGAGGAAAGGCTGTGGCTTGTTGGGTTGGGTTTCAATCTGACCCTGAAGCCACTCATGCAGAGCTCCCCTGGGTCAACCTAGGCCTGAAACCCTCTCTCGAGTCTCCCCCAGAGTTCACCAGGGAAGTCCCACCCCCAGGTGGCTGTCAATTGTCACGGAGCAATGGGGCCATTCCCAGGTCCCACCCTCACAGGAGCATGAAACCGCACTAGCTGGCAGCACCTGTGATGACGCCAGTGACCCCCTGAACTGGCGTCAGGATGCCCCGCCACTTCCTGGCCAGCCTTTCTCAGCTCCCCAAACAGATTCTTAGAGAAATTCCCACACTCTCTCCTGCCAGCCCTACCTCCCGCACACAGGGAGAACCATCCCTGGGTCAATGCCCATTCTATGCCCTGCAGCAGGTGGCTTCAGGTCTGGCTTCCTAACAATGGCACCTAGTGCAGTCTGCTTTGCTCAGACTATGAAAGAAGGAAAACAGATCAAGTTCAGCCATCAGCAGAGATGGATGGGGTGGAGTGCTTAGTGACAAAGGGGAAGGGGTCCCTAATTTGTCTTCTGTTCCCAAACAGAGTCAGGGGACAGAACTTTCCTCCCCAAATCAATCCTATAAATGCTGCTGAAGAGCAGCTAGCTACTCCCCGGGCAGGGCCATCTAAGGACCACAGTGCCCAGGGCTGGCTCCACCCACACACACAGGGGCACTTTCCTGCATGCACATCCCCCCTGCCAATCTCAGCATCTCATGATAAAAGGCGCTTCACTTCTTTTATCTTTTCAAGCAACACTAAGCCCTGTGGGACCTTGCACATTACAAAGCATGTTGTAGGATGTTGTAGGTGCTCCAAGCTGCGCCTCAGAGAAATCAGGCGACCATCAATCCTAGATAAGATCTGCCCATACCATATGCCTTCTGGGGCTTTGCAACTGGGAGACCAGGAAAAAAGGGACGTGAGGTAAGGCTGGGCAGCCAGCAACCTCCTCTCACACTTTGGGAAGGGGCAGGACTTCTGCAGGGGTGGCATGAGCACGAGTATAAAATACTGATCCCCATGGTCCCCAAAGGGAGGTATGGGAACCAGGCATCGGGAGTAGCTGGGCTGCAGTGGGTTCAGCATTACCCCTCCCCATAGCTGCACTTTCCAGCTCTCTAGAGGGAAACTGGGGGGTGGGATACAGGAGACCAAGGGTTGGAGCTCCCCATTCGCGAGGGAGGGGCTCTGGGGCAAAAGGCTGCAGCCCATTCCACTCCCTGCCCTTGCCCTCTGTCTGGGAGGGCCCTGGACACTCACCAGCCCTGGGTTTGCAAGGGACCAGATCCTCCCTGAGCAAACACTGACTTTGTCAGACCCAGCCTCACCCACAGCCTGCCCTCCTTCTCCAAGTCTTGGTTGCTCCCGGTCTAAAAAAAATGGTAGCTCTCCAGCAACCATTAATCACTCCACCTGCCTTCTCCTCCCTCAATCCAGCTCCTCCTGAACAGAACCACTCTTAGCCCACAAGGGAAAAAGACAGGCTGAAGAGAGGAATTTCCCTCATCCTCTTACAGCCCAGTCACCTCTAGAGCTGCTCCTCCTTCTGGGGGTGCCTCCCTCCACCCACCTGAGGTTCTCTACCAGGTAACTGGGGGCTGGGCCAGGTGAAGAGTTCACAGAAAGAAGCTAAGTAGGAAGTAGACAGGCTCCTAGCCCTGCTGCACCCCTGTGTTCTTAGGTTGCAGAGCCCGTTCTCCCTCTTTTCATACCTACTCTGCCCTGGAGGTCCAGGCACTCTTGACACCCAGAATTACCCGAGGAATCCCAAGCCCATAAGAACACCCTCTCCTCCAAAGCCCTGCTTTCTTATGTCCAGCACCCCGTCTCCCCACTCCCTCCCCACCCCACGTCCTCAGGATGAGGGAGCCTACAGAGGACTCTAGCACCAGCTCCAAATGCCAGCCATCCTTCCAGGGCCTCCTTCCCTGAGGCACCACCATCCGGGCCTAGGGCCTGCCTGGTTCCCGGGCTCGGGGAGCTCAGAGAACAAGGTGGTTCAGTACCACTTTCCAGGCCTTTGCTCTGGTCAGCAGTCCTAGGGCACACTTCTTGCCCAAGCTCAAAAGTGACCCATCACTACTGGCCACCCCTGGTCTGAGGAACTCCCCTGTCTTCTAGGAGTAGAAATATAGGCAGGGGGACAGAGTCTACCCTCCCCACTCTTCAGTCTCACAGATACTTCCGACTCAAATCTTCCTGCCCACTGCATTTGAAGCATTCTGTCTGTCTGGCAAACAGAAGATCAACCAGAAGAGCCAGCTCCTGATTGCTCACCTGAAGAGGAGGGGGCAAGAAGTGGAGGGCTGACCTCTCAGAAGGAAAGGAGCAGGGCGCCTTCTAGGAAGGCAAGTCTGGCTCCAGTTGCAAACATTTCTCCTCCTCTCCAGGACCCCTCACAGCTGGAACAGCAAGAAAGCCAGAGGAAATCCCTAGTCCACGGGACCATTCATGGAGTTCCATTCTAAACCACCCTTCCCCGTCCCTGAGGGCACAGAACTGAAGCCAAGGGCCCTGGGCAAGGTCAGTGCACCTGGATTCTATTTGCCCAGGTCGCAGCACCCAACAGTGCAGGGTGGGTGATGTCGGATTCCTTCACACCCCTGTCACCAGCCCCAACAAGAAAGGGCATCTGGGAAATATTTTTACCCAATGAATGAACGGATGGATGGATGGATGGACAGATGGACAAACGTATAAAAGCGGGGGGGGGGGGGGGGGAATTTCTCGTAGAGGCAACTCCTTGGGCTCGAAGGTAGTGACCTAGAATGCTCCCACTTCAGACTGGACCCAGGGCAGGCAGCATGGGAAATGAAACTGAGCAACAGGAACAAACTTGGCCTGAACTTTGTCCAAAATTCAAAAGACAGTGGAGGAGGCGGAGGAAAGGCGACCCAAGCCCACTGCCTGGTAGCTCCCTAAGGGAAGGGAGGGTCAGAGGGACGCATAAAGAGGCCTTTGAGGGCTTTCAAAGGGGCTCCTGCCACCCCGCATGGCTGAGGTGGAACTGGGGGGAGCAGATTGCCTCCGCTGACAGACAGAGGCCAGAGGGAGCCTGGGCTGGGGGCAGCCCCCGCCCCGGGCCAGTGTCAGGCAGCAATTCTATGGCCTCTTTATGCAGGCCAGCGTCCCCACACCCCGCCCAGGCACATCAAACGGCGCAGCCCCCACCCTGACCCCGCCAGCTCCGCGACCCTGCCTCCTCCCTCGCTGCGCACAAAGGCGGGCTGCTTTCTCACAGCTCCTCAGGGAGGCACGAAGCACACTCCTCCGTCCTGCAGGGCCACCCGCCGCCCCTCCCCAGAGAGGGAAACCCCGCAGGGGGCAGGCTAGCCCGAGGAGCAATGACTCAGCCCAAGAAAGGAGAGGGGTCATCCTAGGTCAGCTTCCCCAAGACTGACCCACTCCAGGCCAGGCCAGAGGCAGGAACGGGTTACTTTCCACTGCTCCAAATCCCACTGGACCCCAGCACCTCATCCCATGCTAAGCTCTCCTAGGCTCTCTAGGCTGAGGCCGGCAAAGTGACCTGTCAGGTCTGAGGGCTCACAGCTCAGCATCCCTATGTCCATCCCCCTGCCTCAGTCCCAGGGACCAATGACCTGGGCCTTGCCTGGCACACTGCACTCCCCAAGGAGCCACACCCTCTCGTAGCAGCTTCACCAGGAGTCCTGGGGATGCCCCACGACAAGGCTGCAGCAGCCATCCACAGACTAGGAAGTGTCCTCTGAGGCAGGCAGCTCCGATCTTTACAGACGCCTTGGTTAGGGACCCTGAGGCTGTGGGAATTCCTACCTGGGCTCCTGGGGTAGGAGTTGGGGGGTGGGGGTGGGGGTGGGCACAGCACTAGACTCCAGAAGGGATTGGAGCCTTCCAACCCTATCAGTCTTTGATTCTCTGAGCCTAAAGATTTCCTAGGCAGTAGGGATCTCTGCTTTGCCTGTCCGGCCCTGGAAAAATGCAACAGTGATATGGACTAATAGCTGAGGGCTATGACCTCACAGGGTCCCACACACACACCTGAGGACACCACTCAGAAGGGGACCTCCCTGCCTCCAGGGAATCCTAAGAAAGAATAAGAGGCGGGCAGTGGGAAGGGGAACCCAGCCCCGCCCAGACTTGCTCCCCAGCTCCTGCCTCCCCCAGGGCCCTGAGGCCAGGGATTTAGCGCTCACCCCGCTGAGCGGCCTTTTCTTCCCGCTGACTGGAAGCCTTCTGCTTAGCAGCTTGTCAGAGAGAGTGAGGGGCTGCAGGCCGGGACACAAAGGGGGATTAGGGAGAAACCTCTCGGCCTGCAGAGTAATCCATCAAACTCTCTCCCGGCTGCCAGTACCAGCCCCTTCCCACTCAATTCCCCTTCCAGCTGCTGTTGGTCCCCCACCCCCTCCGGCTCCTGAGCCCTGTCACTTCGGGCAGCAAAGAGAATCCCAGGCCCTGGGGGGGC